CCAGGCCGAGCTCCGTGCAGTCGAAGAAGACGCGGTTGTGGTTGGCGTATCGGTCGGCGGGGTCGACGCCGTCGAAGCGCTGCGGGAACTGGACGAACGCCACGTTGCTGCCGCCGCGGTCGAGCATGAGGCAGACGCCGGCGCGGAGGGCCTGCGAGTTGTTGACGTAGTGGTCGCAGTCGAGGTTGAGGATGAAGGGCGCGTTGGAGAGCACGGCCGAGGTGCGGAGCAGCGCGTTCATGGCACCTGCCTTCCGGTGGTGCACGCGGCCGTGGCGCTTCTCCCGGCACATGTACACCACCGCTGGAACCCGCACGTCGACGGAGCCGAGGTCCAGAAGATCACTGACGCCGAGCTCCGGCGTACTGCCCGGAGGGCCGACTAGCACTTCAACAACTCCGGCATGATCTTCCGCCGTGCCGCGCGACCACTGCTGGCGCCGCACGTCTCCGGCGTGAAGCGCGTCGATCCGCAGCCGCAGTTCTTCGTACTCCCGGCGCACGCGCCTCCGGTCCCGTGCCAGCTCGGGCCACGACTTTGCCCTATAGTCAGCCCTTGACACCACCCTCGCCTTGACGCCGGGGCAGAAGTAGGCCTCTGGGTTCCTCGGCTCGACCCCGTGCTTCCGGCAGAACGGCACCCACAGTCTAGCGAACCAGGCAGCCTGCGCCACCGCCTCGCGGGTGAGCAGAGCGCCGCCGTCGTCTGAGACGTAGCACGTGAGCTTGTCTGGGGGGTAGTCCGCGGCGAGGATGGAGAGGATAGTGTTCACGGTCACCAGCGGCGGCTCCTTCTCCGGGTCGGCGGTGGTGACGAACACATCCATGGCCGGAAGCAGCGACTCCTCGAGCGCCGTGGCGTAGACGGTGCGCCGGACAGGCTGCATCTTGGGCAGCTGGTCCAGCACCCACATCAGGGCGAACCAGAGCTCCCCGGCGATGGACATGGTCCACATTGCACGAACTGTAGTTGTGCCGTCGCTGATCATCGCAAGAGCAGTGCTGCTTCGCCATTTGAAGAACAGCACGAAGATGATCATCCGAACAAAGACCACGAGCCTGCAACAAACACCATGATTTTCGCCACTTTGTCATTTTCCACATAATTTATAGAGTAATATTTCTATACGCACTCCCACTCACTCAATTGAAAGGGTGAATTCGAAATTTTTAAATGTCACTTTTGAGCACTAGATTTCATGACACGATAAAGAAAAAGGTTATAAGAACTCATCATTTGTCGCAGTAAATTCTTATCAGATTCAGCATCCAATTGTAAAGTAAACAAGAAAATAATTGGTCTAACAACTATCACATCCAATTGTTTTACTTTCTTTTTTTACTTCCCTTGGAACTCTGCTAGCTGCACATAACAAATTTTAACTCTGCGCATTTCATATGAACTAGTTGAACTACTCATGAGTCATGATAGTGTGTAGTATATATATATATATGTTCACAAGTTTTATCATGAAGAACTCTTAGGTTTTGTTATTAAACACCGCACATGTTCGAATAACTAAGTATGTACATAGCTGATGATTACCTGTACAGCTTGATGGTAACTGTGGTAAGTTTTGTGGTTCGGACAAGTAGCCTCTCAACGCTGGCCGACTTCTCATGCTCGGGCGACTCCTTCCCATCCAAGCTTGCAACATAGTCGTGCTTCTTGGTGATATATGTCATTGACATGCTCCCACTGGCCAAACGCTATATTGTTCTTGACAGGAAGGCTAGCTCGGGTGTGGAATCAACCCTATATATGGAGGACATGTCATTGACCCATCGTCGCTACTTCTTTTCTGCTTTAACTTTATACTAGACTTCCGTACTTATCCTAGCTTATTCATTTAGTATTTTATTAACCCGTGGCTATTTTTTGACTCTTATCTCACCAAAATGTGCAAGAACTTTACACACGCTTAGTTTGTTCACGGCACCAAAGATTGGTGATAGATTCCATGCACTTCGCGGCTCGTAAGTGGCATGAGCACACCCGAGCACTAAATTTGGTCCACATTGCTGATTTGTTTCCACGCTCCATTTGCTAGTCCAATACTAAACAAAGGGTCGTTACATTAAAACACACATAGGTGATGCACAATAAGTGGCGTGTCTTTGTGACACGCACTTGTTATGATCAATTAGTGATGAGTCCTACAGCGACCCATCACTTGTATGGCTTTCGGGTCGAGGCCTAACATTCACTTGCCACTCATGAATTGTCATAACTTTTTAGATGAAATTTGCACTCTTAAGCAGGTGATAACATAACACATCACTAATGATCTTAGTGATGGTCCTAATGTGACTTATGACACAATTTTAAGTGGTGGTTCTTCCTTTGAAAAGTATTAGCGATGTGTTTGCTGGAAACTGATCCCACTTGGTGGTCAACCTTTTGCCAAGCCAAGGGTGGTGGACTCCTAAGCGGGTACGTGCATGCCATCTATATAGCCCTACATATTGTGTCTACTTTGTTTCTCCCTTTTAATTTTCTTATATACTACTCGTGTGTGTTTTCCATCATAGTCTCAACATGTTATTAGCACAAAGCTCTACCAAGACACACTACGACGAGGAGAAGGAGAAGCATATAGCTTAAGAAGGTGTTTTAAAGGGGTATGTGCTTTCTGAATGTCGATGGATGTTGTTGAACTGGCACAGAGCTGGCAAGACTGAAATTGCAGAACCGATGAGATTGATCATTTCTCTCCAGGGAAAACAACCTTTTCATAAATATAAATATAATCCCAAGTTCAAGTATATTTATCAAAACCCCACCTTAAAATACTTTACAAACTAAAACCCTGCATATAGAATTGTTCTTTTCTCAAATAGACCCTATGCTCCTTTCCTTGATTTATCCTATGAATATAACAACAACATCCCTTGTGTTGGGGCATGCCAAGTATTTATGCCAATATTCCTTATTTGTTGAATTCATGTGAGAAGACACCGAAGCATTATCGAAGATTATGGTTACGTCTACACTAGGAATGGGCTACCATTCCGTTGTTTCTTCGTATCATGTATTATTCTAGGTAATACAGTATCCCACTGGGTTATGTTATCATTTTGCTAAGTATGTGTGTATCAGCTATTGATCTAGGGATTGACATGTGATGCACACTGGACCCAACACAAGCTGTCTAACATGTGTTTAGTGTGTTGTAGTGGTGGTGGTCATAGACTGCTATCCACTTTGTTGTTGATGCATACATGGAATCCATGTTGTCATTTGCATTCAGTTGCTCCTTACCAACTAGCTAATTTGTATATGCAAAGTTACAAATGTCTTATTTGGTCATGAGAATAATTTTGTTCTTAGGAAGCTGACAGTGCAAGCACGGTAGTCCATATATCGCAAGAGATGCAGTGTATGCATATCGCGTGCATACACTTGCGTTGCTTGGAACCCACTATTCAGTGTGGTTTCGATCAGCATTATCTTACTCATAAGGATGACGCATGCGCATGCATGCAGTTCACTTAGCAATCCTACGTCGCTTCAACTAGATAGAAAAGGAGCACAAGGTAATCTAGTTGGGACGTACGTCAGTTCAACCAACAAATTTTGAGTGCATTGTGATGTGTGTGTGGTGTATACATCTACGTCGTTTGACTGGTTGATGGGGTTATATATAGGTAACTAGTCGCTACTAATCTTTTTATGCCAGGAAAAAGGGAACTTGTTTATTCATCGGAATCACCACTTCTGTAAATTAAGAAATAATGTAGAAGAGATGCATGTGTATTCATTAAGAAAGAAGATGATACACCTCAAAGAAGACAAGGCTCATGCAATGACATAGAGGCACGACCTCAGCTATCGGCAAGTAGAAGACTACTGAACCCAACTTATACTAGGGCAAAAGATACATCACAGATCACACGGCATGAAAGTGAGATCCGTGCACTGCGAAACCTACAAGGCTACAACACAACCACAAACTTCACAATCCAAGCACGACTACCAAGATGACAAAGGTGAATGAAGCCCAAACATCATAGGGTCACAAGTCTTGAGTCAAACCATTTGCACGAGTATATATAGGCGCAACATCACCGAACGACAAGGCTATGTGCCCAAAATCGTCGGACCTGCATCCACCTAGGCCATAAAAGAGGAGCCATGGGGGTGAACAGGCACAAATCGGGGAAGCAGAAAGGCGCACACAGGCACAGAGGGTGAAGCCAACCATGAACTGGGTTACTGGGGGAGCCGGCGACGCGTTCCGAACAACGCTTGAACCAACAACCAGCCAGCGAGGAACCACCAGACGACCACAAACCAAAATTCACCCGCCAAATCCAGCGGAGATATCGCCAGATCTCTCTAATAGCGAGTTGCGACTGGAAAAAATTGAACCCACGACCATAATAACAAACATCCAATTCACCGCCAAATCTCATTGATGGCGACCGAGAAAGACCAGATCCAATACCGAGGCCGACCTAGGGAGGGAGGTGAAGCACGGCAACACCATGACTACATCGCGGGCCTGCAGTGATCCAGGACGACTGGGGGAGCGATGTGCGCTAGATCCGGCAGCGGGACGCTCGGATCTATACTGGGAATCACCACCGTGTTTGTGGGCCCTTGATCTCTCAATTGGCCAAACTTAGGTAACTCGGCATCATCATCAAAAATCCTACACTTACGGAAAGAGTGCCACGGATTGATTTTAGCTGACCCTGCTCTTTGATTTTAACTGGGTCATGTCAGTCCGTAACTTCCTTTCCGTGTGAAATGGCCTGTAGATGTAGCAAAGCTCCATCATCATCAACGAGTACTCGGCTCTCTCACACACACTGATGCACTCTTGACATACGGCAGCCATTTTACAAGTAGCTGTACAAATGGGTTTTACATTTTTTTTTCGATAGTCAAATGGGTTCTACATATAGCAGGGCAGTATTTGCTATATATTGCTTGCTGATTTATAATCCAACTGAAGTACACTATATATTTATTATCGATCGATCACTCATGTTATTTTATGCAGTAGAGTTGAGCATATGGAGCAGCATATCGTTCCAGGTGTCGATGGCCCCCGGCAGGCACCAGTGCACGCAGTCGTTGTACAGGGTGAAGTGCTTCTCCGGCGTCCAGCCGCGGTACTTGCTGGGGTGCGCGTCCGCGCGCAGTATCATCGCCTCCGTCGTGTCCATCAGCATCATCTTCACCTTGACGCCCGCCGCTGCCCTCTCCGCCGCCGCCGCGAATTCCTCCAGCTGCAGCTCGCGGAAGTCGCGCTCGAAGCCCTCGACCCTCTTCTCGCCGCGCCGGGACGGCGCCGTCCGCACGCAGTTACCGTTCTCGCTGTTCCACGGACGCGGATTTTTCGAGCATATGCGCCGGGGCCGCGCTATCCTGGCGGTCGAATCGTTGCGGTCTACCTCGAGATGCACGACGGGGATACAGGTTTAGTCTACGTATTACCGTGGCAGGTGTCTGTCACCGTCCACTCGTCGTAGGGTAACGGCATCACGGGCTAGGCCCTGCACGTTATTGTCTTTTACCTCCCCACCGCATACAGACGCGGACCCGTGAAGGCGAATCACTTATCTCCCCCAACGGCGCCCCTGCTCTGTTCTTCAACTCGACCCTCTAATGGATTGGGCGCAGGGAGGCGAATCAATGGCGCCGACGCTCGCCGCCCCGGGAGCCTCTCCGGCGGACGGCCATAGGTATGTATCGAGAATGCATACTGCCGTAATACTCGCAGCGCTCGTTCCGGGATGAGCCTATATTCGTTTTTTTTTTGCGTTCCTCATTGAGGTCCTGAATCCCCTTTTCTTTCTGGATTATGTGCCGGACGCCAGATCCCGAGCCGTTGCAGTCGATCCATTCTTAGCGAGCCCTGAGATCGACGGAGGGGGGGCGGCGGCCGATTTGTCTCGATCCGCCCGGAACGCGAGGGTCTCGATCCGCCCGGATCCCAGGTATGCGCTGTCCCCTTTCTGACTCTGCTAGATTCGTTAAGAGAGATCCATTTTTTTGCCTCCCAAAACTAAATCCATCCATCATCTTTCCGTTCAAAATCCGGTAGTTTCCTTGCCCGTGTGATTGTTTTTGAACCTTAGATTTAATAGCAAATGTGAGGAAGGAAAAAATGGTGTGAGGGGCATGGTGTAGATCCCTGGATTTAGGATCCTGTCCTTATTTGGCATGATTCACACCTGTGCATGAATATACCTTTTCCATCGGTACCATGCGTGCTATTGCTGAATCTGGCTATCCGGCAGAACATGTCATACCTATTTAATCCATGGTGCCCGACTTTTAGTATATTTGTGAACTACTCATATATATTTTGATACTCTGGCCACAATATGATTTAGTTATACCCAATAAAAAAACATTGATACAAAAAAGGAGTGTCTTGCTGTGGTATTTGTATTCCCAGATTCAGCTTAATCTGGACATGTCTTAGTGTATTTGCACCACTCAAAAATCATGACGTTCTCACGAAGCATTAATCTATGCATAGCGAATAATTGTTCCAAATAAAGTGTTCGGCTACATCCAGACATAAGCTCCAGACAAGTTATATCTTTTTATTTCCGTCACCATAATCTTATTGGAATATTCGATAAACTGTAACATGCACGCATACCTAGCTCTGATGTGAGCGGACGTTCGATATCACCTATATACGTTTATGGAAACTGTATTGGCGTGGTATAAACATTTGTTATTATCCATGGCATAATGTTTGTATGTTTTTTTAACAGCTATTTTCAAGTATATCTTGCTTATTGTTTCAATTTGTAACACGTAGGGCATGGATTGCCCACTTTGCAAGAACCCGCCTGCTGTATGTGGAGCTCTCGAAGGACCGTCCTGCCACATTTCAGTTTCGATGACAACCTTCTATTGGGATGAAGCTGTGAGTCGGCGTTATGCCGTTATCAAGTCGTTGATTAATGATGTCTGTCCATACATATGTTCCATGAGAAGATTGACATTTTGGCATGTCTGGGCCATATATTTTGCAGATTATCCCATGCTGCAACAGGCGAGTGTTTGGTGCATGTATTGAGCGTCTGCAGTCCATTGCCGCGAGAGAGAATAAGCCCGTGTGTAAGACAATCTTTGTAACCAGAGAACTACTGGAGTATGAAGTGAAGCTTGATCATGGAGCTAAGAAGACCTGGAACTTGTATCCCCCTCATGTGTGGTGCGTGAATGTGATGTTTCTACCTATGCATTTTCGCTCGCTATAGTTCCATTCGTTTGGCCCTTTTTTGATCATTATGATCTGATCTGCATTGCCAAACTATAATTCTCATGGCTATTTTATTTAGTTGGATACTGAGCTCGCAATGTCATGAAAAAAATTGTGTTTTTGTTTGCATCGTCGGAAATTCTTCTTACAAGATCACTGCATGTATGATAGGCTCAGCATTGGTAGATCACACGACCATCACCCACATCCATTCATCCCATCATCTGGTATTATTCAACATGTGCCCGGCACATGTGCCCCCCCTATCTTGTACACGGGATGTAATATTCTCAGTTGTACTCTGTCCATGCCTACGCTTCTTGTACCCTGTACATGGCACCTGGATTATCCTTCCTGTACTTTGTACATGGTAGACAGATCACTCGTGCGTGGTACCAGGCGCGTGAAACAAGAATATTCCGCATGCACGTGAACACAAGGCAAGCCGAAATATGTGCTAGGTACAAAGCCCAACTTGAGCCTGATGCGCATGTGCCATGCACATCTGTCGTATGTGCCAAGTACATGTTTCCGATATGGATGGAGTATGCAAGTGTATATGTTGGCCTATAGCGTCTGAAACGACCTGATTTATCAGTTATGTATACTGTATCAAAAATCTGTTTGTTAATTAAGCAATAGGTAATCTGAAACGACCTGACCTGTAGGAAGAGCAAACAACCCGTTATATTCGACACTGTGGCTTTCCTATGAATATCTTGTTTCATCTTAACAGCGGCAGCACACAGAACTTCAACAATATATCTTCCCCAGTTGAACTTATCCAAACTATCCGGGTCGACCAATGCTGGCCAGTAATCAGTGTAGAAGTAGTCGTTCTTGACTGTCGGTGCGAATACATGTGTCATCATGAATACGACGTACGCAGTTTTGAACGCAGCCAGCTCTGATTGTGACATCTTCCCCTTGTAGTCGCGTGACAATATGGACTGTATGCTCTTCAGACTTCTGGTCTCCTTGTTCTCTATCCCCAAACGACCTCTCAAGTATGCAAATACGGTCTCGCTCCTATCAAGAGATTTGTCCATCACATCTGTTCCAGCTGCTGGGATCCCAAATACCTTCTCAACATCACTCTCATTAAACTTAAACACCTTATCCGGTCCCAAGATAATTGCTTGTCTGACCTCATCCACCATCCCTAGGAGCCAGACCATATGTTTGAGGCTTAACTTGCTGATCAGGGGCATGGATAGAGTGCCACCCCAACCCATTGATGTAACGATCTCTCGTTTTTGCTTGTCAAAATGCGATATAACAGAGTAAACCTTCTGAACTGAACATCTGAATGTAGGTCCGCTATACCCGTCGCCCCTGTCCGATTCGTCCTCTTCGACGATTGTGGGCAACTTGTTGATCTTGCTGAAGTTCTGCACATTCAGAGCGCTGGTTAAATGTATAACTCTTCAAGACTTTCAAACAAAAAATTTGATTTCTATACTACTGCTATTACCCAACCAACACCTAGGCGCATCTCATGTAAAAAAAAGAGTAACTACACATAAGGCTAACTGTTCTGGCAATGTTTCGGCCAACATGTTCTACCCAATTCATCTCTGAATGTACGAACAATTATGCATCCCCCGGACCCCTTCCCAATAGCATTAGCACTGTATTCAATATTAAAGATACATGCCATCTTACCTGCATGTTGATTGTTCGTATACAAACGCCTTGTCCCTATTGCTGCCCCAATCCCTACCCTAATCAGGCCTGCGGAACAACAAGATCCATGTATAAGCTGAAACCTGATATGAACCCAGTGCCAAAAAGACGACCTGACATACAAAGTAACCTGTGCGCGTAGCTGAAACCACCGATTTACCTGTTAAATCTCCGCGAGCCTCAATGGCTGGCGGCGCGATTCGATACGGGCGGCGGTGCCCGCACGAGCCCGTCACTGGTCTTCCCCGACGACCCGGCGCTGGATTTCCTCGGCGGCCAGCCCGTCCCGGCGCCTCCTCTCGCCCCGCACGATGCTGCCTCCCGCTCAGATTTGGCCCATGTTCATGCTCTGCCTTTGCTGAATCCCCCTCCCACCCCGCCTAGCATGCTCCTGGAGGAACTAGAGAAGGCGCAGATGGACCAGAGTCACGGGCCGCCACACCTCTGTCCTTTTCTCAAGCTGTACAGTACCCCTAGGCACATCACGGACGGCTGGGCTACTAACCCGCTCGAAATAACCATGGCCTAGCGATCTTACGGAACGGGCCGACACCTATCCCGATGTATATGTACGACCCAGATAAGCGGGCCGGGGTGCATATGCTCTATTTTATATTTTCGGCTGTTCCACTGCCCGCCCTCGTACTGCGATGGGTCCACGGTGCGCAGCAGCGCAGTGCCGCTGAACCGGCCGTCGGCGCCGGACAACGCCCCCAGCGCGGCCCGCGTGGCCATGCGCAGCGCGTACCGCGGCGTGAGGTCCGTGACGTTGGGCAGCTGGCAGTAGTGGCAGCCGACGAGCCGGCCGGCCTCGTACAGCATGGACGGGCGGTAGAACCAGCTCGACGCCGACACGACGACGTAGTCGAGCTCCGGGATGCGCGCCGCCCACACGTCCTCCGCCTCGTCGAGGTGGAGGTTCCAGAGGCCCGTGTGCGCCGGCCCGTCGTCGTCGATCTGCTCGTGCCGGACCAGGTACGGCGCCCAGAAGCTGGCCACGGTGAAGTTGTACTCGCCGTAGTGGTACACCGTGTGCTTGCTGCTCGGCCAGCTCGTCGTAGGCTCCGCGACCTGCACGCACGCACGGCCATGAGGCAGGGCAGATCATTATAGCAGTAGCGAAAATATATTTTAGAGCATATGCACCCAGGCCCTCTTTATCTAGCCATTCATTTTTTGCTTTAAGATTCGTGCAAATATATTTCTCTTTTTTGTTTCTCCCACATAGAATATATCTTGAAGTTCAAACCTATGCAGCGTGACAAAGCTTTCTGAGTAGAATCTAGGATAAATCGTACAGATTTTTTTGTCAAACATAAATATACAAAATACATTTTGTTTGATTAAAAAAATCATATTTTTAGTATTTACGTCGGACAAAAAAATCTAAAAGATTTATCCTAGATTCTAGTTAGAAAGCTTTGCCATCCTGCATAGGTTTCAACTTCAAGATATGTTCTATGTGGGAGAAGCAAAAAAGAGAAAATTTCGTATAGAAACTTAGTTGTGTCGCACGGATCTTAAAGCGATATTGGAGAGCTAGGATAGCAGGGCCTGGGTGCATGTGCTCTAAAAATCCACGTCCATAGCAGTAGGAGAAAGGTGCGAGACTCCATGATTGAGAGCTCGCTTAGGATCGGAGGTACGTACTCTGGTGAGGAGGCAGATGAGGGAGTCCTTGTGGTTCCTGGCGAGGGAGTCCCCGACGAAGGCGATGGTCTTGCCCCTCATCAGGGTGAGGAAGCGGGCCGGGTCGAAGCGGGGCAGGTCGCAGCCGTCGCCGTCGGGGCGCCACCGCCAGTTGACGAAGCCAAGGTCGGGCTTGCCGAACCTCATGCAGTCGTAGTGCTCGTGGATGACCGAGCAGGTGTCGTTGGTGTAGTAGGGCGCGTCCGGGTCGGGCACCCAGTCGCCCCTGAAGATGTCGCAGCCCCCGCCCTCGCCAGGTCGTGATCCTGTGTGAAGGTGAGAAGAAAACACGCGCCATGGGTGTGGGAAGGTGGTGCACAGCAGGTTGGAAGCCGCGAGAAGAGCAGCGAGGAGCATGAGGGACATGACGGGGACGAAGCATCTGCTGCTGCTCACATGGACATGGGGATTGCACATGTGAAGAAGGGCCCTCATGGTCCGATGTGCATTTGAGTTCGATTGTGCGCATTAGCCAGCCATATATGATGATGATCATGCATGAGAATGGCGAGGCAATCACTTCACTGGTGCCGGCCGGTGTGGTCAGCAGCTATCTTGATCCATCGTCCTTGATAGAGGATGATTGGCTCACTAATTGTTTTCTTCTCTTCTCTATGCCAATATAAAACTGCAACAGTGGGCTGCGCACATGCGCTACTGTACTAATCAGCCTCTATACGCCGAATCATTCGTGGTATGATACGTCAAAGTAGCACTCAAACAAACGATTCACTCAAATTACAGTGGTCTCCCACCACAGCCAGCCCACAGCCCAACCAAACCTCACCAGCCATAGCCTCAAGAAGAGTCCATGACAGAAGATAGTCTTTGTTGCAGAAGATACCGATCTCAGGATTGAACTACCTGTGATGATCCAAACAGGTTCGACTCCTGGTTCTTCACAAACTGATAAACATTCTGAGGCCATCTTTCCCTGAAAAAAAACAAAAAAAACTGAGGTCATCTGTATCTCTCCCACACGCACCTGCCGCTGATCAGCCACTCGTTGAGCCGAGGACCAGCGCTTCTTTGTGTAGCCAGTTTACCAATTGGCTTGCGACATGCAGATATGCAGACATGTACTCGCCACCTTATGATGAAGTTGTTAGGTTGATTTCTTCCCCGTTCGAACCCAACGGGTCGAACGGACCCTTGCATCGCGTCCTGATCGGGGGCGCCCAACCAAACCATGGTTGGTGGCCCCCTGTGACCCGCGCTATATTAACAGAGGTGGGGTCCGGGGCACGAGTCACGAGGTTCACCGCTGCCACAAACCCCACCGATATTCCCTACCGATCTAGGGTTAGCGCGGTGCTCACGGGAAGCTCCACCACCGTTGTCATCCACTCTCTGTCCACGACACCGCCGTCACCACATCAACATGGTCGGCGTTGGATCGAGCTCGTCTGGACATGCAGAAGGTAGGTCTATCGGAGAATCTAACCTATCTGATCCAAAGCAATCTATCAATGGTATCAGCCAAATCGGGTTAGACTTTTTCGGTTGAAACGAAATCACATAAAGAAATCCCCTCCCCCAAGAACCCTAGATAGGGCAAAGTTTCACCGGAGAAGGGCCTCGGGCCTCGCCGGCAAAGTGCGTCGCCGCAAGGCCGCGCCTATTCCCCTCGATCCCCACACGCATCGGCAAGCCGAGGTGCGGGGACGAAGAACTACCCCAGACGGGGCAAAGGGCATCACCACGAAGCCGTTTGACGGCGGCGCGTTCACCCTCGTGGTGCTCACGCACGCCGGCAAAGGGATCAGCGGGGGCGCTGCGTCTGATGGCGCCGGGCCTCTCGCGTCTCTCTATCTCTGCACGAAGGAGGCTGTGGTGGATGGGTGAGAGAAGGGGAAGGGAAAAGGAGAGCACAGCGCGGCGCGGCGCGGTGGCCCTCGCCGCCGGCGCCCGTGGCCGGAGTAGCCAACCAGGGCGCTGCCCCTTTTTCCCCGACAGGAGAGGAACAGAAGAAGAGGGAGGAGAGGAGGGGAATAAGTGGCTCGCGCAGCGCGGCGGGTTTCGCCGGCGTGGCTGGCGGGCACGAAGACGCGCGAGCGGCGCGGGGGAGGGAGGGATTGACCGAGGCTGCGCTCCACTCTCCCTCGCTCACCTGTTTTGTTCGAGCGAAACGCGCGCATGGCCGTCAGATCTCCACGGACGGTGCAAATCGAAAACCTAAAGCGGCGCTGGGCCTTTTGGGCCAAAGAGGAGGAGGCAGCGCTGGGCTGAGGCCGCTGGCCCAGACTGAGGCGAGTCCGGCTCGCGCGAGTGCGCGGAGGAGCAGGCCATGGGCCGCTGAAGCTGCGTGTTTTTTTATAGTTTTTGTCCAGTTTTTGGACAGATGTCAAATAGTTTTTCTATGCAAATTTTTCCAACGAAAATTTTACTTAGAAAATAGCAAAGTAAACAGAAAAAGTTTCTGAAAATGAAAATAGAGAATTTTCAGAAAAATAAATGTTCATGCAATTTATAAAGAAAATAATAAAGTTCATGAATTTTTATTTGGTCAAAGAAAAGCTTCTGTAAAAATAAAAAGTTCATGAATTTTTATTCATGTTTTTTTCGCTGCGTAAATAATTAATAGTGCTCTTTTACAAAGAAAATAAAAGTTTAAAAACAATTAAGTTTTTTAAGAGCATGTTAAAAGTGATTATTAAAATGAATATGATTATGTTACTTTTTATGACCAACGTTGTTAATAACATGATCATGTTTTATCATTGAATAGAATATTGTAAAGTTTCCGCTGCAAAGTAAAAGTTTTATCCTCCAATTAAATTGGAACCAACGGGAAAATTTAATTGGAAAAAATGCTCTTAGCAATGTTTTTCCCCTGTGGGTGAAATAAGATGCAAATAGTTTCCGCTATGACAAAAAAATTATTTGTTTTAAAGTTAAAATATGGTATTGTTATTTTCTGACCAATGTTGATGATAACAGTGCTATAATTCTATGAGTCTTATGTTCAAAGTTTAAATCTCTGATAAATTTTGTATCAATGTGATCAATTTTCAGAGAACCAATAAAGATCAATAAAATGCTCTTGAACTAGAGAAATGTATATTTTTTGTTCCTGTTGCAATAAACTCGTTGATGATGATTAATTCTTAGCAAAGTTGTTTAATAGAAATACTATCATCACGTTGTTTATGAGTTATATGCATTATTTCCATTTCCGCCCAACGGTGATATGGAATTAATGTAGAAGGATGATGTTTATTCTAATTCTGCCACAACGGTGATTTAGAATATAAAAGAAAGTTTCAAAAGTTTAATGTGCATTTCTTTTAACCAGACCAATGTAGGGTTATTCTTATGCCCATTATTGTTGATTATTGGCTAAGTTTTCTTAGACTAAAAGTTTTCCATGCTTTCATTCGTGAAAGCGAATGGCTGGGTACATGTGACCCGAAAGATGACCAAGAAAGGTCATAACGTGAGGGAGTATGTTCTCTCTAAAGAATGGCATCAAAAGAAAAGAAATAGATCATTGAGAGTCTTGGTTGATGAATGTCTTTCATGTACTCTCTATGAAGAAGATTTTTCAGTCAACATGATTTGAGATGAAACAAGCAACATGCGTGTTTAATTTGACCAACGTCGGATCAAGCATGTGTGTCAAAGAGCATTTGGATCTATTCCTAAATTTGATGATTGAATATGCAATCAAAAGAGCCAATTCCGGTATTTATGTTCCCTTACACCGAATTACCTGCATGGCGGGAAAAAGATGATTATGATAAAACCCACATGGCGGGAAAAAGTCTGGGAAAATACCTGCGTAACAGGGTAAAGCTGACATAATATTATGTCAATAATCCCGTATGGCGGGAGAAATTTTTGCAAGGAAAAGATATGATAAGTCATGTGCTTTTAATGTATCCCACTCCGGGAGAAAAGAATGGAATAGCTGAAAGGCGCAACTGTACACTTATGGATATGGTGCGCAGCATGATGAGTTATTCCAACTTGCAATTGGGATTATGGATGGAGGCGCTTGAAACCGCCATTCACATTCTCAATAGAGTACCAAGCAAGTCGGTGCCCAAAACACCGTACGAGCTATGGACAGGAAGGGTTCCCTCCCTACAACACTTTAGGGTATGGGGGTGCTCTGCTGAGGCCAAAATGTTTAATCCAAGCATTGCAAAGTTGGATCCCAAAACAGTGAGTTGCCACTTCATTGGCTATCCAGATAGACCAAAGGGTTTTCGTTTCTACTATCCAGACAGATATACAAAGTTTATAGAAACAAGACATGCAGTCTTCTTAGAGGACAAAATGATGAGGGGGAGCATGGTAGCTCGGAAAATTGATCTTGAGGAGAAGAGGGTGCATGCACCTAATCCGATGATTCAGGAGCCATTTTTCTCACTACCAGTTGCAACTCCACCCATGACAACTATGGGGATAGACCCGGAACCTGTCCACCAGGAGCCGACTGAACCCGTTGTTGAGCATGAAAGGGAGGTGCAGCAGCAAATTTAGAAGAAGTGCTAGAAGTTGAGGCACAAAATGTGCCAGAAACTGAGGCCCTTAGAAGGTCTACAAGACACAAAAAGTCAGCTACTTCTACTGATTATAAAGTTTATATCACGGAAATAATTCATACAAAAAAAGATCCCACCTCATATGAAGAAGCCATGAGAAGCCCTCATTCATCGAAGTGGATGAAGGCAATGGAACACGAGATGAAATCGATGAGTTCCAAAGATGTTTGGGATTTAGAGGAAATTCCTAAAGGAGCCAAAACAGTAGGCTACAAATGGGTATACAAAATTAAGTATGACTCTAAAGGGAATGTAGAAAAGTATAAAGCTCGACTTGTGGCAAAAGGATTTACACAAAGAGAAGGGATAGATTACAATGAGACATTTTCTCCAGTCTCATGTAAGGATTTCTTCAGAATCATAATGACATTAGTTCCTCATTTTGATTTAGAGTTACATCAAATGGATGTTAAGACGACATTTCTGAATGGTGATTTAAAAGAAAATGTCTACATGAAACAACCCAAGGGTTTCGTCATGGAAGGCAAGGAAAATATGGGATGCTGCCTGAAAAAATCCATTTATGGGTTAAAGCAAGCCTCTAGATAGTGGTATCTAAAGTTTAATCAAATGATTAAAAGTTTTGGATTAAAGAAAATATTGAGGATAACTGCATTTATGCAAAGTTTAAAAATGAGAAATATATTTTCCTAATCTTGTATGTGGATGATATTATACTTGCTAGCAGTGATGTTAGTCTATTACAAGAAACAAAAGAAGTTCTTATCCTCAGATTTTGACATAACAGATCTTGGCGAAGCATCATATATTTTGGGTATAGAAATTCACCGAGATAGGAACAATGGAGTCCTAAGACTATCGCAGAAAGCATATTTAGAAAAGGTTCTTAAAAAGTATAATATGCATGCGAGTAAAGCCACACCTGCTCCTATAGTTAAGCGCGATAGTTTTGGGAAATTCCAATATCCCAAGAAACCAGTACGAGATCGATCAAATGAAAGCAGTACCATATGATTTGGCAGTTGGCAGCTTACAATATGCACACGTGTGCACTCGCCCTGACTTAGCTTTTATCACCGGGATACTCGGTAGATATTAAGAGAATCCAGGCATGGAGCACTGGAAGATGGTAAAGAAAGCATTGCGTTATGCGCAAGGCACGAAGGACTACATGCTAATATACAGAAGTGATTCCCTAGAGATAAAAGGGTATTCAGACGCAGATTTTACGGGGGACAGGGATGATAGAAAATCCACGTCAGGATACGTCTTCACTCTCGCTGGGGGAGCTATTTCATGGAAAAGCTCCAAGCAGTAGATAGTTGCATCATCCATGATGTATGCAGAATTTATAGCATGCTTCGAAGCCATGGGGCAGGCGATATGGCTAAAGAAATTTGTACCCGACTTGAAAGTGGTAGATTGTATTCACAAACTACTAAAGATGTACTGTGACAACCAGCCCGCAATATTCTATGCTCACAACAACAAGTCGAGTAATGCTGCCAAAACAATAGAGATAAGGTATTATGTTGTGAAAGATTAAATCCAGAATCAAACTATAAGTCTCGAGCATATAAGGACAAGATATGCTTGCGGATCCGCTAACAAAAGGCTTACCACCCAATGTGTTCAAGGAACACTTAGCCGGCATGGGTTTAAGGGAAAGCCTTATGATTCTTGGATAGGCCCAAAAGAAATAGAATTTGTTTCTGAACAAAACGTATGTTGTAGCTGTATGATTCTATTGGCAATTAAGCTGTGACGATGAACCATGCTCTATGTACCAATATGTGATGAAACAAATAAACTAAAAAGTATAAGGTTAAAAGTAAATTTGAGATCAAGGGGGAGAATGTTAGGTTGATCTCTTCCCCATTCACAAACTGATACACATTCTGAGGCCATATTTCCCTAAAAAAATAAAAAAATCTGAGGTCATCTGTATCTCTCCCACATGCACCTGCCGCTGATCAGCCACTCGTGGAGCCAAGGACCACCACTTCTTTTTACCACTTGGCTTGCCACATGCAGATATGCAGACATGTACTTGGCGCCTTATGATGAAGTTGTTAGGCCGATCTCTTCCCCGTTCGAACCCAACGGGTCGAACGGGCCCTTGCATCGTGCCCTGATCGGGGGCGCCCAATCAAATCATGGTTGGTGGGCCCCTGTGACCCGCACTATATTAACAGAGGTGGGGGTTGGGGCACGAGTTACGAGGTTCACTGCTGCCACAAACCCCACCGATATTCCATACCGATTTAGGGTTAGCGCGGTGCTTACGGGAAGCTCCACCACCACCGCCATCCACTCTCTGTCTATGACACCGCCGTCACCACATCACCATGGCCGGCGCTGGATCGAGCTCGTCTGGACAGGCAGAAGATAGGTCTACCGGAGAATCTAGCCTATCCGATCCAAAGCAATCTATCATGACGGACCGCTGGCTTTCATGGCCGCCAGGGGAGAGGTCGGAGGAGACAGCCTCGCCGCTCCTGTTCCGGTCCCCTAGAGAGATGAGAGGCATTTCTTTTTAGAGGAAGAAAAGGCACAACACGGTGAGGAGAGGGCGATCGGCCCAGTTTCGTGAAACGTCCCGGTAAATGCGGCAGAAAAACGGGGCACAAGGAAGTTTACCCAATAGGATCCCCAATTACAGGCGTTGTCTCCTGGTAAATTTTCATTGCAAGTGAATAATTTCAAAATTAGGAAAAAAATTGCTGCCTTAGCCAGTTTGATTTTGTTATTATTATCTCAAGATGCTATGCCAACTCCGTCTCTCGGAAGTGCTCATAGAGGTAGGGTGTGCATGCATGCATTCATATGGGTGAGTATATGCTCGTGTATGCGATCAACTTCTATTGTACCGTGTTTAAAAAAAACAGTCTTCAAGCAACCGGAAGGGGGCACCACCAAGTCATTTCTAAGCAAGATTTCCAAACGCGCTCAAGAGAAATTTCAGAACAACCAGAATGTTTTATCTAAGGCCCTGTTCAGAATCCCACTTGCTCCGCGAAATACCAGGGGCTGTGGAGCTAGGAAACAGGCGCTCCACATTTTTCCATTGTAACTCCACCCGCTCCGGGAGTGGGAGCTGTGGAGCGGAGGTAATCCGAACAGTCCCTAAATATGTACTGTAGCAAATTCGCTAAGAAACAATATTAAAACACGATGCCTAGAAAGACAGATGATACAGCACACAGGTTAGAGACGAATCAACACGGTTATCAAAACAAGTACAACCTTTTTTCTTCTAAAAGCACGAAGGCAAAGCCAATACAGCTGTTCTTTAACAAAGGCACCAAACCAAATCACCTCCAGGAGAGATATCATCGAGTTTCCTCAACTCAATAATCATGAATTGCCGATGAAGTTAGCATCGTCTCAGGCCTACACGCCTAGAGCTCAACGGCAAATTTGTAGAGTTCTCGGTCCAGCCACTCTGCTCAGCACAAGCTTGCAGGATCTCATGGGAGGTGAGTGGTGGCCAATCTTCTATCGCAAACCTTCACAGATCATGTAGATCTCCCTCGAACTAGACCTCGTCGCCTTAGGCCTCAGGAGAGATACTTTTTTAAACTTCTCTTTGCAAAATTTGTTAAACCCTGCAGCAGGGCAGACAATCATTCATGTTGCTATGATATCAACTGCAAGCAATAGTAAAGCAAAATCTACTTGTAAGATCTACCTGGTATATCCTCGTTCTCAAGAAACTTGATTACTAGGCTGCCTCCACGTCTAAGAACACCGTCCTCATCAGGATCTGGGCCCGTGGAGCTCTGAAACCTCTCCATAGTCTCACGATAGTCAGCCGATTCTTTGAACTTTATCTTACCAACTGCCAACGAGAGCGCACGCATGCCCAGCTCACAAGATATAGCTTCATCTCTGGTTGTGATCCCTGAAACTACCGGACACATGTCGGATAATATCACAGAAAATCCTCGTTCCTGTACAACAGAGTAACATCAATTAATCAACAAATGAACAGAGCAACCACTATCAAGATCAACAGCACAAATATAGCTGACAGTCCTTGATCTGGTATTTCTAATCATCCACCATGAAATCAGGCACTGGTGATTTCAATGTTGAGATTAGTGAAGCTTCATAGTTTTAAGGGGTGGACACGACAGATAGTTCGGCCAAATATTTGATGACAAATAAAACAGACCAGTCTCAAAAGTTCTAGCAATCAACTAAATATTGTGATTTTGACAGAAGGCTAGAAACTGCCGTTTAATTAATACATGTTGGCCCTTCATAATAGGCAGCATCATATGCAGCTACATTCTCATATCTCCAACTGATGCTTCATTCTCTGGTAAATATTGTTCGACCTTGTAGGTATGTGTTTTGCCATCTGTTATGCAACATTTTCTTTCAAAAAAAAAATCTGTTATGCAACATATATGATGGCTGATGGATAAACTACAATTATTTGGTTATATTTTAACAACTCATGGCACTAAATTTGGTTTACTTAACAGTTCTTTTCTAACAAGCACTGTCAGGCTGTCAGCCAATAAACCCCGATACCATTTTGGGAGAACTCTTCGGGACTATATTTCTTCTGTGAAAATAGTCCCAATATATGGATTTATAGTGCAAAGATGTCATGAATTTGAACCAATCAAGCCACATTTCAAACTCAGAATAACACAAATTTAATCAGTACATAATTCCACTAATCTACACAAAATACACATCCAGCCGAATTCCATTCCATCGAGTAGATTAAAAAAAGCAGTCTATTATCGAACCTGCGGCGACATGGCTCGGGCTTGCTGCTTCATCAGAGCCATCACATCGGTGCAGACCGTCCTGACCCGCGAGTCGCAGTGCGCCGAGGGGACCTTCACCTTCTGCTCTGCAACAACCGAGCACCAAAATCAGACCCGACACCCCGCCCATCAATCACAGCATCAGCAGATTGGCGAACCTTGACATCGACGCCGACGACCAGGCCGCCCTTCTCGAGCGGGCCCAGGTTCTGGCAGGCCACCTGGAGCCACGCGCCGGGGGCGCACCCGAGGTCGAGCACAGCGGCGCCCGGGGCGATGAGCTTGTGCTGCTTCTGTATCTGGATCAGCTGCAGCAGCGGGGAATAGAAGCGCGACGCGTGAGAGATTGGTCCAAGGCGGAGCGCGGGGAGGGAGAGCGGGGCCGGAGGAGCGAGGCGGTGCTGACCTTGAAGGCGGAGCGGGCGACGTAGCCGAGGCGCAGCGCCTCCCGGTAGAAGAAGTCGGCGGTGCCCGTCGCGCCGCTCATGTTCCCGACGATTGCGGCGCGGCGGCGAACGGAGAACGGACGGCCGTGAACGCGGGTTTGCTAGGGTTTTAGGCCGTTTTCGCGGGAGCGGGCGGGCCTTGCTGTCTGTGGTTCGCATGGATGGGCTGCTAACATGAGCATGTCTCACGGGCCTGGTTTGGGCTGACATGCCAAACCAGATGAGCTGCAGATGCCCTAGAAAACGGGACCTCATATGCGCCGCATTCGGCAGATCCTATTTGACGCCCGCAGGCGTCAAGAGGACGAGCCTTCGCTGAAGCAAGTCCCCACTTGGGCCAGCCCACGTACGGATCTGGTTCGCTACTGTTTCCTTGTTTCTTGCGGGTTTTTTTCTTCTATGGTTTTTTGCTTCCAGTTTTTTTCACTCTTTTGGCCAGTTTTCAATTATTTTGTCCCGGTTTTTTCTTTTGCTTTGAATTTAAAATTTGTTCACATTTTAAAATATTTTTCATATTTTTTAATAAATTTTGTTCACAGTTTTTCCATGAATGTTAGTTTTTTTTTGAAAAAAGACGGATATGCTACTGTAGATAGGTACTTAAAAGTTTAGTGCTGCATTTTAGCATTCTATCATACAAGTTCGAGTGGTTACCAAGTGTCTTCTGAAACCAGAGGTCGGGAGTTCTACTTCGCGCGGCATGTTTTGTTTTTGCTGAATTCTAGGTTCGACGCTGCCAATGGGCCGGCCCGTTTGCGCGTGCTTTCAGCGAAAGCTCTACCGTTCGACGCACGCGGGCGTTCAATAGGAGGTCTCGCCGCATTCTGCGGTGAATACGGAGAGCGACGCACACAGGAGCCATGTGGCTCGGCCAGCCCACTAAGACACACCGCCAGTAGTTAACAGTAGTAAAAATCGAAAAATCAAAAGAGATGCCGCAGCATTCGAGCACGGGACGTCACTCCGCTCCGTAGCGCTGCTTACCACTAAAGTAAATGGCCACATGTGAAGAAAAATGCATAGCAAACATATTTCACAACTTACCTTTGCATGATATTCCCAGTTGGTTGTTATTTGCCTGACATGTACAATAGCATATATATTTTTGAAAATTTGAACACATTTCGAAAACACACAAAAGAATTTTTGAAGAAATGTGAAATTCTAAAATAGTCTTTGAAAAACAAGAACAAAATTTGGAATTTCAAACATATTTTGACAAACATAGTCTTCGAAAAATAAGAACAAAATTTATGAAGGAGTTATTTTTTACTTTGGAACAATTTTTCAAAATATTAGAGCACATTTTTAAATTTTTACTTTTTAACAAGAAGGATTTAATTTTGAAACCCCGAACGTATTTCAAAAGAATTAACAAAATTTGACATTAAAACATTTTAAGTCAAAAAACAGAATGTTCTATGAAACACAAACTCTTTTCAAATTTCTTAACAATTTTTCTAAAGACTCCTTTTGAAAAACCGGAACTTTTTTTCAAAATCATGAAGATTTCTTGGAACGGGAACATTTTTCCAAATTCCAAAACAAAATTTGGAGACACGAACATATTTTGAAATTCCTAAACAAAATTTGAACACAAACATTTTTTGAAACTTGCAAACAATTTTGGAAACTGGGACATTTTTTGAAACTCTGGAAAAAATGAAAACGTGATCATTTTTTGCAATTGGCGAACAATTATTGAAAATGAGAAAAAAAATTAATGCCCAAATTTTTTTTGAATAGGTGTGAAAACAACGAACAAAAGCATTCACAACACTTTTTGAAAAAATACGAACATTTTTTGAAATTTTGAAAACACGAACAATTTATAAAATTAGCCTACCATTTTTGAATTTGCGAACAAATTTTTGGAAACATGAATATTTTTGTAAAAATGCGAACATTTTTCCAAAAATGAACAATTTAATAAAAACACGAAAAATTTATGAAATTTCCCTAACATTTTTGAATTTGCAAACAATTTTTGAAACATGAACTTTTTTTAATTTGTGAATTTTTTTTGAAAGCAGGAACATTTTCTGAAATCTGATATTTTTTGAATTTGTGAACAAAATTAGGAAATATTTTTAGAAAATTTATAACTTTTTTGAATATATTTATATATTTGGAAATGAAGTGAACACATTTTGAAATACTAAAACCTTTTTGAAATTTCTGAACAAAATTTGAAAATAGGAACAAAATTTGGAAAATAAACAAGTTTCAAGAAATACGAACATTTAAATTGCTGAAATTTTGTTGAAAAAATAAATTAACTTGAAAAGGAAAAATAAAAGAAAAGAAAAGGAGAAAAAGAAAAAAGGACAAAAAAGAAAAAAACAGAGAGAAAAAGAAATAAAAAAACATGTTCAAGAACCTTCCAGAAGGTTCCCAAAACCGGTAAAAACCGGCTGGGAATCGTCTAGAAGGTTCCCAAAACTGGAATCTGAAAACTGTAGGTACGTTACAGATGGGCCAACCCAAGTCGTTTGCTAGGTTGCGACACCTGTGCGATTCATCGCAGTTTGACGCAAAGCGCGTCGAATAGGATTTTCCCTAGAAAACCTTACTCGACTCTCTTGAAGAAAACCTTACTTGAAACACATCAAATCGACCACCAACCCCTAAAAAAATTAAATGGAGCACCATTGTAGTACTTTGTGACCGATCTGGCATGTCAAAAAAAAAACTATTCATGTCTGCTCCAAAGCTCGTTTTTTCTTTTCGAGAAAACTTTCCATCTATTCATCAACTGTCATGACAGTACAAAGAATACCAGGAATAATAAATATTACATCTAGGTCAATCGACCACCTAGTAACGACTACAAGCACTGAGCGAGCTGAAGGCGTGCCGTCGTCATCACCCCTCCTTCACTAGAGCCGAGGGAAACTTATTGTAGTAGACAGTCGAGAAGTCGTCGTGCGAAGGTCTCACCTGATCAACGCACCAGAATAGCAACCACCGCTGATGAAGAGAAGTGTAGATCAGCATATTCCAACCTATAGACACATGAATGTAGATGCACCAAGACTGGATCCATGAAGATCCAACCAAGACCGACCAAATCCCACAAGATCCGCCGAAGACATACCTCCACACGCCTTCCGACAACATTGTATGCACCATCAGAACTCAGAAGGGGTACTAGGTGAGGAGGACATTATTCGATCTGTCGGAGACATACCTCCGCACCCTTCCGACGGCATTGTATGCACCATCAGAACTCAGAAGGGGGACTAGGTGAGGAGGACATTATTCCAACTACAGGAGCCGTCCTTGTCTCGTCTTCCTAAGCAAGACACAAACCCTAATTAACCCTTAAAAAGAACTAAAATGGAGTAGGAGCCCTCTCATTGGCAAGGACTGAGATCCACCACGCCTCCATGGCCCTAAGGCCACTAAAGACAAGGCGGATCAGCGACAGCATCGGGGGGAGGCGAGAAGACCCGCTTTCTGAGAGGAGTTACTCATGGAGGAGGAAAGCTAGATGTGATCTGTCCTTTTACGCGGATGTCCTTAATCAAAGCTCGTTGTTAACACATAGCTTTATTGAAAATTATCTAGCGGAGCTTGCCTCACTACTAGGAAAAGGGCTATAGATGAAATTGACACTAATGGCGCACCAGACATGTGGTGCGCCATTACTATATACTAATGGCGCACCGTGTGTTGGTGCGCCATTAGTGTGGAAGACACTAATAGTGCACCAGGCACACGGTACGCCACTAGTAACAAAATGTTTTTTTTTCATTTTTTCAAACATACTAATGACGCATCCGGGCAATGTGCGCCATTAGTAGTTAGAACTACTAATGGCGCACTAGTCATAGAGGCACTACTGTATTTTTTTTACTTTTTTGCAAAACTACTAATGGCGCACCGTTGCAGAGTGCGCCATTACTAGTTTAAACTGGTAATGGCGCACTGTGCCACGGTGCGCCATTAGTATAAAAATTATTTTTTTTACTTTTTTGCAAAACTACTAATGGCGCATGTCTGTGTGGTGCGCCATTAGTATGTTGGGTTACTAATGACGCATGTCTATGTGGTGCGCCGTTAGTAACCTGGGACTAGCTAGATATTTTTGGACAGCCACACCTACACACTCACTTTCCCCACTTCATTCCCCCCACCTCCTTCTCTAAGCTTGTCGGCTGCCTCCTCCTCCTCACCTTATTTGCACCATAGATTCATCAAAATTAAGTGTTGAAATTACCTTTTTTTGATAGGTAAGTAAGGGGAAAGCTATCTTCATGTTGTAGATCTACTTTTTTTCTCCCTAGCTCGCTCCAACAACGTGCACATGCACTTTTTGTGGCCTAGCTAGATCTATGTATGTTTGTGGTGTTGCATATGTTTGTGGTATTGCATATATGTTTGTGTTTGCAGGTACCGGTATTTGAAATGCGATAGTTGCCAATATTTTGCCGGAATGTTGATTCATTTCTGTTTCGGCGAGAATTTTGGCACTATGCATTCTTTTTGGTCCTATTTTTAGGGAAAGTCATGCCAAATTTTTTCTTGGTTCTAAAATATCGTTTTGCTCTACCCCGCAGGCGACCATGGTCCGTACGATGACCGAAGGCATTGTGAATAGGTTTTTGAGCTCCGCGAAGGCCGAGCTGCTTCAAAAGAACGAGATGGAGATAAGATGTCCGTGTCGAAGATGCAAGCTAAAGAGCCTTATTGCAGACTCGGATTCCGGGCAGGTGCGGGACCACCTGCTCTTGCGTGGTTTCATGGATGGCTATCGGTGGCAAGGTGATGAAGATGACTATGAAGTCGTCCATGGGGGCCAGGCAAGAAATGAGGAGGGGCAGCAAGACAACCACCGCAGCTCGGGCGGGTGAGAAGACGAAGAATCTCCAAGACATGATCACGACGGTGATGCTGTACACAGTCATCATGTAGAAGATGCCGGACATGATGATGAGGAAGATGCCGGAGCAGACGAAGGGCATGATCATGAAGATCCAGATGCCGGAGGAGCAGACGACGATGGACCATCAATGGGCTGGGTGTAGGACCCTCATAT